CTGACAGTGAACAGGACATGCCAGTGAGGCTGAGCTCATCACAGCCAGCCTGTAGCAAACAGACCTTTGTCTTGCATTTAACATGATAGAGCAGAGGGATTCCTGAGAAATTATTTGAGCAGTGTGAAGGCTTAGAAAATTAGCACAAAATGACCACATGAAAGCCAAAAAGAATCCTGCAACACAAGGTAGACAAGAGGAAAGGCTTAGTTCTGTGAATAAAACCTATACACGATTGAATAAACACATCCAGATTTAAACACCACGTGGATACAGAGCAGTCCCTGTCAAAGATGTAAACCAAGTTGCAAGTCTGATTGAGAAACAAAAGAAAAAAGATGCTGAGGGTTTAATACTCAGTGATCCAGTACAGCCAGTGCTCACATTTCTGCAGGTGCCTAATCCATGTTGTGGATTAGCCATGCTGCAAATGAGGAGGCACTGGAAAAGTCCCTGAGCACCACCAGCAGATTCAGGCATAGGTGGCACAAATGAAGCTGCACAACCCTCTAGGCTTGCAGGTCCAAAACCTATTTGTGTGCTTTTGGGCAGGACTGCTCCTAAATCACCAGCCTGATGATTTGTCATTGCCATGTCAAACAATTTGGGTGTTTTTACCTGGGGCTGCTCAGAATTTAGGGTTCCAGGAGCACGTGTCACCACGTTATTTGCCCATCTTAGGCTCCTACATGTGAATAATTCACAAACCAATACTGCCATCAGAAAAAAACATTCATCACTAGTTTTCCTCATCTGAGACTTCTTGCCAGGGAAGGAATTGCCAACAGCTCCTTTCAGTTGGTCAGTCTTTGTGTTTACAATGACTGTGTTACTTGGCTATGCTGCATACTGCCATTCCTTACTCTTTAGCTGAATGACAAGACTAAAATGCTGAATGGGAGCTAACAAATAATACATCCTCCACATCTTCTCAGAGATCAGATAAGTTAACATCAAACACACATGAGCAAAAAGCACAGGGAAACAGTTCTCTGGTTTTCTGAAACTAACAGAAGATTTCAGGGATTGGCTTTGGATCTGGCAAGATGAGGAGTTGTTTTCAGTGCTCTTCATTTATTTCTTGAGCTTCTTCAAGGGCATATTTCCTGCTTTATTCATTTATAAAGCTGACAACCCATACACAATAACCCACTAACAACTTCAGCATCATATGTTAAACAAAAGAAACACAGAGTGCACTGTTGGTCAGTAGTGTTTAAGACTAAGCAAAAAACTGCACTCTCATCATTTGGCTTAGGCTCTCAATGCACATTTGTGCAGTAAATTTATTCCAGTTGTCAGGCTTTCCATTTGACCTTTTAAACAGTGGCATGCAGCACCAGTCCTTTTGCAGCCCCGCATCTCTGTCGTCAGTGACTCAGCAGCTCATCGGATACCCCGCAAAGTCTGCAGGCACACAGGATTATGTGGTTTTCAGTGACAACTTTCCATTAGCGTTTTTTTACTTCCTTCTAATTTAAATCAGCCTGATATTAACAAGCAAAAGATGGAAGCCTTTGATAATGTCTTCTTCAGCAGACAGGATGGGATATGTTAATTAGAATCATAGAATCACTAAGGTTGGAAAAGACACCCTAAGATCATCCAGTCCAACCACCAACCCATCTCCACCACACACACTAACCCTATCTCTCAGTGCCACATCTCCACATTTCTTCAACACCTCCAGGGTCAGTCACCCCACCACCTCCCTGGGCAGCCTGTGCCACTGCATCACCACTCTTTCTGAGAAGAAATTTTTACTGATTATTCAAACCAAAACTCCTCTGGTGCAACTTGAGGCCATTCCCTCTTCTCATCCTATCATTGTTACCTGGGAGAAGAGGCCAAGCCCTATATAACCACCACTACCACTGCCTCCTTTCAGATGGTTGTAGAGACCAAATTATACATATGAAAATCATGATGCTAAAAATGAGGTGTACTACACCACTTTATGATGGCATGTCCTTTTTTTTAAAAAAGGAACAGTTGAAGGTATTCTCAGTGCTTTTTTCTTTCATAAACACTTGCTGATGTTTAGTGGCTGATTTAATAACGATTTGCAGACCTGTTGATGAATGGCTGATATAATGGTATCATACTGCAGCACTTGTGGTCAAATGCAGTTTCCATAGCATAACTGAGAATGCAACAAGTAGAAATAGGAACCTGTAGGTACTATGTAGCCTGCACTACTTGCATAATTCAGATCTTGGTGGCTGCTTTATTTTATAGGGCTGCAAAAGCGCACACAAGGGATTGTTTTTGACAGAGCCTGACCTACTCTAACAAAGGGCTAAGTAAGTTGTTCAGAAATGCTATACAAAGAAACCCTGGGAGATTGTTTCAACCACCTTCTTTTCATCATCCCTAGCTTTTAGATCCAAGATTCACTCAGGTACAATGACAAGAGGAGATGGAGGAAAACAGATTAGTTGTGCAACACTGATGCAAGAAAATACTGTTTTTAGAGAAGACATGTGGAAGCGTATCCCACAGTACTGCTACAGCTCTGCTGCAAGCAAAGTCCTTCCACATCAGACAACTCTAAAAGGAAAATCCAGGTACAGAGCACAACAGCACCAACATGACCAGAAGCCATCAAGCTCTCAGGGAACTGCCAGGAAAGAGCAGTATGCTTGCAAAGGCAAGCTCTTGTAGTTAAGAGCAGCAATAACTATTTTTGCTTAGTTAAGTCCCTTTTTGAGTACCATTGTTGGTTTTCAATTACAACCTCACAGATTTTACCACATAATTCTTGCTAATGACAGAAAAATTACTCAATTTATTGACCTAGTTATTCGCACTATTTTGTGCCAGTAATTCAAGCGTAAGTTCCCATATTAATTTTTTTTTTTTTTTTTTAATGTGATGTGCTCATCTAAATCTCATTGCTCCTTACAAACCTGACAATTTTCTTGCAAACAGATAAAAAACAATGCAGGACTGTTTCCAGCTTTCACTCGCAACATGAAGCTTAGAGAAAAAACACAGGCAACACAACTGAAAAAATCAGCAAACTTCTCATGCTGATGGCATTCAGTATTTCGCATCAGCATCCAGCACAAGGCACTGCTGGCAGCTGATAGTGCTCACCTATGCCTCAGGACTCCAGGCAATCTAAGTTGGGAATACAGAAAATGCACAATTTCTGTCCCTGTGTTGGAAAAAATCTTGCTCTTTTTAGCTTGTGATCATTACATATAGTTTGAGGGCTGAACCCTCACACAGGAAAAAGGAATTCTGCAAATGCCTTAATAGAGGAAGTCAGTGACTATTATGGAATTCGGGGCAGAATTAATTCCTGGGATAAGGGACAGATGGGAAAGGAGCGAGAGAACACAGCCTGATTTCAGCTTTGGTAAATTAGAGAGAAGCTGAAAGCCCCACAGATCCCCTATTCATGGGCTGAAAAGTTCTGTTTCATGCACGTGCACAAACCAAAAGCGATGGTTACACAGATGAAAAAAAAAAATCCCCTCCTCACTCTTTTGAGGGAGTCTGACTCATGATTTTCAGACTTTTGGGGACTTTTAAAGGCTTTTCTCACAGTAGAAGCCACAGTCACAGCACTGAATAAGCAAAGGTGGGTGGGAAGGTCTCAAACCAGCAACAAGCAGAAAAGAGCAGTGAAGCACCTAGGGCATTTCTTAATTTTTAACACTGGATTCTGTGCTTTGAACAAGATTTTACTAAGCTATCTTTTGGGGTGAGGTAGAACTTGTTTTGATTACTAGGTTTCTAATATTTAAAGAAAAAGAGAAGTTTACATTCCCTGCTCAGAAGTCATGCAGACACCTGACCTTTGTGACCAGGGCTGGGATACAAACAGCCCCAGCGCTGGCCACTATCACTTGAGCTAGCAGCTTTCCAGGCAGTGTGGAGGTTTTCTTCCCGTGTGGACCTGCCTCAGCAGGCATGGATGCATTGGCGCTGCTTTGCCATGCACAACCCTCTCCTTCACTTCTGTTCCCTTCTCTCTTCCACCACCACTTATTACTTGCCTTATTTTTATTCTCCTCTGGTCCCAGCACTGCAGAGCCTGGCCAGCTCCCTCTCCCATTCAGCCTCTCTTGCATAACCCAAAATATCTGCTTCTGGATCTCTCTAGCACTGCTGCTTTTCCTGCTAAGTAAATTAAAGAAATGATTATTAAGAGGATTTTGGGAGAAACTAAGTTCTGAACTCACAACCAGCTCCCCCTAATGAGGAAGATCTGTTTGACATGCTGCCTTCAGCATCCACAGTGGAAGGTGCTTTGGGCAATTTCATTGATGACCTCTAGAAGGACCCTACCAGCAAAATGCTTGGTGTTTGTCAGCAGGCTGTGTTTGAGGAAGGGATTTCTGTGGCACTAGCACAGGTGATGCCTTCCCTCTCCTTCAGGCAGGCACTGCAACCTTGTTCCAGCTGTTAAAACTGTTAGAGGTCTTTGACTCCTCTTCACATGATATGATATCAGACTATATGAGTCCTCTGCTGTACATCTTTCTTTTCATGAAAATTTTAGGAATTTCAAAGCCCAGTTCTGCACACTTGAATTGAAAGAAATCAAGTGCAGTTTGTTTAAGCAGTAGAACATCTGGTCTTTAGCTGGAGACTACCTCTGGTTTCTGCAAAACTTCAGTAGCGTGTGTGCTCATGACCTATGTTTGTTTTTCATTTTCAGTAATCCTTAAAAGTTATGTTCATACCCTAATGAATGCATTGATCTTTCCTAACTTTGGCAAAGGTTGTGTATGGTTGATCAGATACGTGGTAAACAAACATTACTGTCAGTCTCAGTTCACTTCTGAGTAAGAGAAGCCCCCACAAGCCAACAGAAGTATTAATGTACGGGCGGAACCAGTGGTTAGGCTGATTTTTTTTTTTATTTTAGGAAGACTCTTTGCTGACCCATTTGCTTTGTACGCCAAAGAAATGCAGTACTGCAGATATGAGCTTTTCTCTTCAAACCATTGACACCACTGACAAATGGTTTAATCTTTTTTTTTTTTTCCCTCATGCAGCCTTCATTTCTGTACCAACATTTACATTTTTATGGATGAGTAATTGAGAGGGAGAACGCACACTAAGAAGGTAAGACTACAGAACAGTGTTTGTTTAGCTTTGGGAAGACTCTAGCCCTTACTTAAGCTGATATTCCTGCTATGCATTTCTACGGGTGCAGTCTGAATCGACTGAAAAGCAAATCTTTCTGAATAATGTGTAGATTGATGTGTTCTGGATTAAGAGCGATGGGTCCCCAAATAGTTCATCCATTTTTATTCTCCCTTGTGTAGATTACCAACAGAGAGAGGAAGAAGATCGTGCACTGATAATTACTTCTTCCAAATATTTAACTGCTAGCATGTAGAGGCAGATTTTTCCCAGTCTGGATATTTTTCTCTATTTCTGATTAGGAAAAATAATTCACTGTATCTTTTAAACCTTTCTTTTCCTAATGTAACTTTGCCTGATTAAATATTAGGCAGTGTTTTGCCTCTCATATGCCCTTTCAGCAAACATTTGCTCTTTCATTATTCAATCGGAAAAGGATAATATTTGGGAAACGGCAAGATTGTATCTAAAGATACAAATTCAAATCAAGGATCCCTTCTTTAGTCAACTGTGACCAATCCTCCAGCTCACAGACTGAGTCTTGTCCAGATTCAGAGCATGTAATTTTAATACTACTCTTTCTAGTTAAGAGCTGTATCTTCTGTTTTTTTAGGCCTTGGCTTACCTCTGACAAAAGAATAATTCTTAATGGCAGTTAGCTAACTAAGTGAAATCCTTCAGGCAGGTTCTGGTTTTCACACAAGACAGCCTCCAGAATTAGGGTCTTTGGGGTGGTGCATTTGTATCAGTGATACAGCAGATTGTTGTACAGTATTTTAATGTAGCACGATTTCTGATTGATACAAATACGCAGACTGTGCAACATGAACCAGTGGAACTGCGCAGCCAAAACGCATCTGCTGTCTGTAGCTGCCCACACAGCGTCCCTGGCTGTGCTAAGCACCCAGGACCTGAGTGTTGCTCCCCAGCATTGAGCATGAGCCCTACCCCAAACCTCTGCACCCTGCTGCAGCTGACATGGGGAAATCTGCTTTGGATTTTCTGAATGAATTGAAAATAGAACCAGAGAGTTGATTCCTTGACAGCAGAGACACTGAAAGAAATGACTGAGAAATCCATAGGCAAGCTCAATCCACACTCCTCAGTATGTGGCCTGCAGCAGTCACCAGAAATGACGTGGTGTGTCACAAATACCCCTTACTTTGCTGTCCCTCTGCATACTTGTGTGCCCCGGGCCAGTGACACTGTGTGTGGAAACGTCCTGAATCATGTCCAGATGCTTCTGCAGCTTACACATTGGCACTGGGCAGTTCCTCTGGGCTTAGAAAAAGCATCTTAGGAAGTGACAGCAAAGAAAAGGCGAAAGGCCACACCGCGTGTGCCCAAATATTTCTGCGTGGCTGAGTACTCCAAAAAGAGCAATATTTTCCATTTCTAAAAACAAGAATTTTGCTCATCTCTTTCTAGGTCACTTATAGCATCACGCAGATAACAGATCTTACCAAAATGTCACCAAAGATAAAGCTCGGGGTTTTCAGAACAGTGCATCTGAAGGTGTGCACTTTATTTAGGCGTCTGCACGGAGGGACAGTTTTCATGTGCACTTCCAAGACTTTCTGTTGAAAGCATTGGCCCACATAGTACCATCATATGTGGGGATTCAGCAGCTGAGCAGGTGGGCCTGTGTGCTGTGACAGAGAAAGAAAAGCTGCAATGGTCCATTTAAACACTGATCACAAAATAGGATGGAGCAGTGGCCACGCCATTGTCTGTATCACCAACTTTGCTGTTTTCTGACTAACTGTGACTGCTGAGGACTGAGTCACCTAATTGATAGCTACCAGTGTGACAGAGACAGCTTGCAGGCTGGAAACAGCAGCTCAAGCTTTTATCCCAAAACAAGCCTCTTTGCTCCCTGCTCCACTAAGACTGAAATTTGGTTGTAGCTGAAACAGCTGGCGAGCAGGAAGGCCTAAACATGCACAGTGTACATCATGCAAGGGAATATTCTGCAAAATGTAGGGCTGATCACTGGTTGCAGCATAGCTTCTGGAGTTTGATGCCAGAATGGTGCTTTCCTATCAGGTCCTTCATAGTTCAAAAGCCTTTACTTGGAGAAGATAGAAGAGTCCCTATTTTCATGAGCTAATCAGTAAAATAATGATCTTTGGCTAAAATATATATATATGTATCACTAAGCCATAATCAAAATACTGTTTTCTTTTAAATACCAGTTTATCTTCAAGGTGCTTGAGTCCATCTCTGACCATACAGATAGCAGCTGTGCTGCGTCTTGACACGAGGAGGGAAAATACATAGGCTTGTTTCCACTTTTCTCTGTTCTCGCCTGACTGGATCAAAGTTACACAACCACAAACAGAAGGAAAAATAATCGCTGAACAGAAGTGGAAATGTGAAATACGTCAAATGATATTCTTTTTCTTTTTTTTTTTCTACCGTCAGAGGTGCTCGGGGGTTGCGTGTGGCCAATAAGAATAGACAGGCAGTCTGCAGAATGGGAGATTTCTGACGGTGAAGTCCTATTGAGGTTTTTTTGGAACAGTTACATATAAGACACCAAAGGAATGGCTCAGAACTACTATCCCCACCTACAGTGTTTCTTTCCCTTTTCATTTACGGTAACAATGTTCAGGCAACAGTTTGGTTTTTTCAGTTCCCACTTACTATTCATTGTGAAACTTGGTAAGATGGGCCATGTTTCAATGTTCCTCCACAACTGTACGGATTAACACATTTTTCTTCAACAGCTTTTTGCTATTATAAACGTATCCGACTGTTTGGACTATTCCTTGGAACAATTGGTTGGCATCAGTCTGTCCTAAAACTTCCTCTCATTTTTATTCATATTTATAGAAAACATCCAAATGTTTTCTGATTCCTTGTACAGCTGCCTAAATATTGAGTATCAAAACTAATTGAAGAAACCCTCATCATTGGTACAGCAGGCAACTTAGTAATAGGCATGATTTGGAGCAAAGAGCAGGCAGATCTGTAAGAACAAATACTGAAGTAAAACTCCATGTAACAAGAAAAATAACTGCATGGCAAATCACAAAGATCACCTTTCAAACTGAAATATTCCAAGCTTTTTAATGGTAATAATAAGCCCCAAATCAAAGCTTCTATGCTAAGCCAGATTGTATGCTCAAAAAGGGATTCATTTGGTTATGCCACAGAACAAGGAATCTCTCCAAACTGCATTGTGAGTGCTGCTATTCCTTTTATTTAGTAACTATAAAAAAATTTATTTCAGGTTATTAATGCCTTGTATTCACAGAAAAGTAAATTTAAATTGGCTTCACATTTGTGAACGTTTAGTAGCTCTATATGTAGACATGGCACTGAGGGACATGGGTTAGTGAGCAATATTGGTGGTAGGTGGACAGTAGGACTGAATGATCCTAGAGGTCTTTTCCAACCTTAATGATTCTATGATTCTATAGAATTCAGCTGAGAACTGCATGGAATATCTGAGTCTAGTCTATTTAGCAAAACTTGACCTTCTGTGATAGCAAGTAAAAGCCCATCTTACTGCCATTTCCAAATCTGAAAATAATACCCAAACTACTGACAAAGTTTCCAGGAAAAAAACATTTGCAGTAGTTGGATATCATATTTAAAGTGGTCTTGAATGAGAATTTTTTATGTCTGACAACAACTTTTTCAATATCTGGGAATTATCCACTGCTTGAAAACTCTCTGGTGCCTGAACAATCCTTTGGTAGACAAGTTTGTCTTTGACCATTGTTTTCTCTTTTGTGTCACAAATAGCATCTATCGCTTTCACTGCCTTACACTAAACCTTGTTGATAGGTACATCAGAATTAAATCTAACTAAGTGTGTAAACTGTGAAAATTAGGTTAGGAGGCAGTTTGATTGTTTGGCAACCCTTGCAGAGTCTGTCATTGAAGCACAATGCCTATGCTTCATGTGCACACAGCAGATCTGTTTGTACATCATTGCTGCCATTGTGTCTCTGGCAACTGAGGAAATGTGCCCTGTCAGCAGTGGTACTTCTGTCCATGCCATGCTGATTCCACTTCATATTACCACCTCCCACCAGCTTCACAAGAATTAATCAAAAGTCATTCATGAAAAGCTTTCACTATACAGCAGTTTTGATTTCTGCTCCACATAGCCCGCAACAAAGATTCAAAGAGCTGGGCCGTTTGACCTCATGTACCCATTTTCCTCCAACTCACAGCACTCTCATCAGTACTACCGAAATCATCACATCTTATTCATGGCAAGTCTTCACATTGCTAACTTTCGTCACCTTTTCCATCACACCTCTTCCTGGAGTGACCCAGTGCCATACTGACCTGCAGAGCTGGGGACTGGCAGGAAACATGCTGTGGGGGCTGCCACGGGGCTCTGGAGGAGTATGGGCTGCTTATCAGCAACTGTGCTTGATTAATTCACAGTCTTTTGGAATAATTTTGAAGAAGTCCTGTTAGGAAAATGCACTTAAAACTTCTGTTTAAATCCCATACAATTTGTTGTGAGCTCCAAGAACTTCCCTTCCTCTCCCTGAGCAGTGCCCCTCAGCCCCCAGAAAGGCCACTGAGTTTCTGTGCAGCTAATGCACACAGCTCAACCTCCACCACAGCAGTCTTTTGGGGCACTCCTCTTGGAGGACAGTGTGAGAATATGACAGCTGACAGAATGCTGATGTGAACACTGCATGTTTTTACACAGATTTCCAAGTGCTGTCTTTAATTGTGCCGTAACTGTATTGTATTCCTTGCCATAACTTATTATACCTTTACTTACATTTTCCAAAATACTCAGTGGTCTCAAATATAAAGTATGCTCCACATTCTTGATTATATAAGCAATAACAGACTTTTAATTTACCAACAAAATAAAGTCAGCTTTCTGAATGAATCAATAAAACCACCAGGCCATTTTCAAGTAAAGCGATACCACATTGCCAGAATGACAAGTACAGCATTGCCACACAGACAATAAACAAGAACTGAATTGGAGAAACTTCATCTAGACTTTCTACAGTGAATCATCTCTTTTTTTTTCTTTTTCTAACTGGAGGTTGAAGAAAGGGTGATTCGTTCTATTCTGAATTTGTTTTCTGTTTCATTACAGCTCTGTTTTCTGCAGTGTCTTTTTAGCAATCTTGGAAGTGCAGCATAATAGCCCGCTTACTATTAAATCAGTCCCAGCAGAAGAGAAAACCAAGTCTGGGGAAAAGAAGAAACATTTTCTCTCTGAGGTTTAGGAGTAAGTAGAAAATTGGGGAGGCAGAGTTGAATGAAAAAGCCCTTCTCGAGGCAAAGAAAATTCATCTTTTTAAAACAATATCCTGAAGGCAGAGCACAGACAGTCAGTATTAGGTGAAAAATCATAGAATTACGGAATAGAACAGTTTGGACTGGAAGGGACCAAAAATCATCAAGCTCCAACCCCCGCCACGGGCTGGTTGCCACCCACTGGATCAGACTGCGCAGGGCCCCAGCCAACTTGGCCTTGAAAAATAGCAATGTGGGCTTTGAAACTGTGAGGTACCTGGAAGCTTTTCCACAGCCAGCAGAAAAGTGACTCCCTCAGGAGGGCTGGTGAAGCAGCAACATGTTTTGTTGCAGCCAGTGCAAGTGATGCTGCAGATGCACTGGGCCAGCCAGAGCTGGGGCAAGGGGAAGGAAGCGGTGGAGGAGGATGCGCCGATACCACTGATGCAGCACCCAACACTACAGGAGCACCACACGCCAACATGCTTGCAGGGCCAAAGTGAAGCGAGCATAGACTGAAAGCTAAAATAACAAGGAATCAGAGGGATAAGCCAGGAAGAGGATCTCTTGCACAGATGGGGAAGCCTGGCTTTGAGATTCCTATCAAGGAAACTGAAATAAAGCCATCATCTCTCTTACTCAGACAGCCAGCATGACCGCAGAGCTATCACTAGTTGTGACTAATGCCTAAAGCTGAGAACCTGCAGGTCTTGTGTCTTGCAGCAGGAGGTACACGCTAGGCTCTGAAGTCACTTACTTATGTATCTCTCATCTATAAATTTAGGAGAAAAATGTTGCCTGTGTGTTTAACTTTTGGAGCCCTGGCTAAACTGATTGACTTGGTGAAATTACTCCATGAACACTGTTTGCAGGTAGGAATTCAGGTAAGACTGAAGGCCCAGCTGCCTGGGGAAAGGGCATGGAGAGGCTGGCAAGCCCCACTCCTGCAGAGCCCTTAGCTGTATCCAGTGCTGTGCAACCACTCAGCACTACCTGCAAATCTTAACAAGGAGCCCGAATTCTTAGGAATCTCTTCAGCCATGTAACGCAGGGCTCAGCTCCCATAGGCAGCTGTTTCCTACAGGTGCTCAGCTTAGACATGGTGCTGTTTCTCCAGGCACTGAGGATGTAGGACTCCACCTGATCTTTCCAGTGTCACCGTCTTATCTACAAGACACCCACCGTAACCATATCTTCACCTTTTTGAACAGAAGTTTGAGGTGACCTGTGCAATAAGGTGTTCTATACCAATCACAGAGTTGGATGTTGTTCTTACCTCAGCAAGATTCAGCATGGACAAGACCATCTTTGCAATCATGGGAGACGCATCTCAGCCATATGGCTCCTTAGCAAACAGTCATCTCTCACATTGACCAGAGGATATTTACTACTTGGAGGGTGAGGGAAAGCTGCCAGAGTGCCCCAATACTGCCAGTGTAATGGTGAAATAGCAAAAAAGCAAGTAGGATAAAAGTCTTTCACACACAAGCAAGAACAGAAGGATATGGAGGGAGGGAACTGAGAAAAAAAAATGTGGGGAGAGAAGAGCAGGGGCATAGTTTAAAAAGAGATCAAGATATCTCTTCTTCCTATCAGAACAGTCTCCTTAAATGTAACCTATAGTTCCTTGCTTTCCCTTTAGCCATTTATAATGTGAACCAGTTCATGCCTGTGTGCGGGCCTTATGGAGCAGGGCTGTGGGAGAAGTGCATGACAGCCTTCCTTTCATCTGTTAGCACTGGCCCACTGTTATACATTCCTGCATCTCCTGTATGGCTGCAAACCCTGCTTCTCACTTTACATTGCCTGTTCTTGGCATTAACTGTGAATAAATGTAAAAACATATCAAGTATGGATACAGGGAAGAGGAAGTAACAAGGTTCTTCCAATCCTGTCCTAAGACACATCCCAAATATTTTCAGTAATGTATCCTTTTTCTAAACAGGCACAGTAACAATGAAGTCTTTGTGTAGGATTTAGTTTTCCGCCTTTTCAAGCCAGACGTGAGCAACAACCTTAACAAGAGGAAGAGTTCATAGAGTAGCTATGATGTCATTCAGGTAGTTGTGCTCCTCATCAAACCTGTCAATCTACAACCTCCTGATGATGTGTATGTAGTGCATTCAGGCAAAAATCCTACAATGGTTGTAGAACTGTAAAACATTCTAAGCTGGAATGTACCCAGAAGCATCACTGAGTCCAACTCTTGGCTTCACACAGGACCACCCAAAAATCATATCATATACCTGAGGGCATTAGTCAACTCTCCAACTAGGTACCCTAGGGTTATTTAACCAGTGGTGGATCTGAGCTGCTCTTACACTGTTGTGATGACTACACTACTACAAGCCAGCTGTTGGGAACCTGGCACAAGATTGTTTCCATTCTGGCAGGGAAGCCAGAACAGGTCAGTTTCACCCATCCTTTGCAGTACAGTGCTGCCCAGAGGATTGCTGTTCCTCAGATATTTCAAATCCTCCTTCTTCCACTGCTGTACATGAAAAGTTTAGTTAGCCATCAGCCAGGCCTTTGAAAAGGAAGCCGGGGGCTACTCTTCTCCTTTCCTACATTCTAGAAGAAGTGCACTTCATCTAGGTCTAGTCCTTAATCATGGAAAAGATTGCCTGTTTTAATAGTAATGCTGGAGCTCATCTGTAATTTTTTCCACTCCAATCTCCTAGAATAAAAAAGAAGTCACTTCCCTTCTGAAAGCTCAGGGAAGAGAAGACTGGCACAAAGGCTCAGGCTATGTAACTGAATGGCTCCATAAGGTGCGATGGCATAAACCACCAATCAGTATAAATCAATCAGTTTGCACAAGACTTACCTACTACTCGCACTCCATTATTTTTAAACATCTCACTGCTCATTTATTCCTGTCTGTGTGATCTACTAGGATTACTTATTGATCTGCTCAGCATTACACAGTGTATGGAGTAAAATAATGCAGGTGAACAATGGTATTTGTGCTGCTGCTGTTCTCCATACTGAAGAAATGAAACATCTGAAGTCCATAGTGTTGTTAGCTCTGTTTGCTTTGTTAGCTCTCCCAGCTGTTCTCACACACAGCCATGCAGCATATAAACAACAGTACCATTAGTGAGCAGCAAAGCATTATTTAGATCATTGGCACTTGAAGGGAAGAGGTTATTTGCTTTCCTTCTAGATAATGGTCTATCAAAATATAAACCACTCCACCCTGGTTTCAAAACACCAACATGCTAAGGTGGGGTAAACCAACTGCATTCTCTTCCTGCCTTTTTTAATAAACATTTTTGTTCATCATCGAGCAAGAGCAGTTAAGCAAAAAAACAAATAATCAAAAAAAAAACCCAACAATTAAAAAAACACTGAACAATGTATAGGAAACTCATCTCAAAGACATCTTTCTGGCTATCCACACACAACATCATCTATTTTTGAAAAAATCATGTTCCAATACCTGTGCATAAAGCAAAACATCAAGTTAGAGGAGAATGCAAGTACTGGGCTGGTCATAGTGCTGTGATGCCTGTCTGCCTCTCCTTTGCAGAGATACTGAAGCACTTCTCAGGGCTTACCTGGAGAGGAGCACAGCAAATTGCACCAAGAGCTTGTGCAGTGCCTGGCCTGGTGAGGTCCCCTTGGGAAAGCTCTGCCATTCTCCTGTGTGTAGGCAGCACTCGTGCTGAAGCTCTCAGGATGGAGGGCAACTTCGCTGTGCATCAATGTTATTTCTAAAATAACTGAGCTTTCTCTGCACTCACTCTAAGAAGCAAAAATAGGGAGAAAAAAAAAAAAGACACTTCAAAAAACTGTTTCATTTTAAATACTCTAAATCTACTTAGATTTCTAAAGTATGTAAAAAGTAGAAGGCTGACTGCCATACAAAGGAGACTTGAGAAGAGAACTCAGCTACTTGTGCAAGTTAAATTTGAGAATGGTCACTTCCTGATGACTTATCTTGGTTCTTGAATATACATGGACCAAATCTTTCCCCTAAGCACTCACATCTCCTTAAATCTCAGCCTTTGCAGGAAGGACTGGTTTATCTTTTGTAAAAAGAGTGCATGGATTTTAAGTTGAAAGACTTCAGGGCATTTCATTAATTAGAAGTAAGAGATAATATGATACTTTGTGTTTTAAGTTACTTCCTACTGTATCCTCTTGATAAAATGAAGGCTATACGCCCTCACAATTTTCCATTTACACGGAATTCCACCAGTTTAATCAAAATGAAACATAAGGTACTGTTATGGTCCTTGTACCTTCAGATTTCCTTACTGATAACCCACATACTATCCGTTAACCCATTGCATCATTCAGAAGAATAAACAACTTGGGCTCATTATACAGGAAGCTGAACAAAAAGGAAATAGAAAATATTAGGTTTCAAATATACATTTGGGCCTTTGCACAGTTCAGACTGATATATTTTTACAGATCAAGGCTCTTCTTCAGAACAACCTGCTAACTTTACTAAAGAGAGAAAAAGCATTTCCTATTTTACTTTACTAGTTTACTTTTTCAAGTAAACTATTTTGTTACACAATTTCCATCCCTAAGGGATGGATCTGGTGTTTGATAAATGCTGCAAAAGTCAAGACTTTATTTGTAATCTTTCATAGCAAGATACTGAAAATCATTCAGGCCATACCAACATGTATGCATTTTTCTAAGCATCCTCCTTCTGGTTTAGTAATATTACCACATGTATGTCAGCTTGTCCTCTTTTTCTATGCTCCATGGACTTGGGACATTAATTGCTTTAACAGTGCTGAGATGATTATGAAAGCATTCTATCAGCTTACAAGGCTGAAATAAATTGAATATGAACTGACTTTGCAGAAATTAGGAAAGCATGCTAGCATCATAATGTCAAAGGGCAAATGTCTTCACTCATAGTTTCTTTCTTTTGTGTCTTTAAGGTCTGGGATGCTTTCACCTCCTGTATCTAACGGCAGCTTTTGGTGGGTGGGGCTGTCCATGTCCCACAGCTGGCATGGAGTCCGAGCCCCAGGGAGGAGTGACAGTCACAGGATGGAGGCTGGCAGGACAATCCTTGGTGCTTCTCTGACCATCAGCTCTCATGGAGAAATGGCCAAAGAGATGTTCCATACTTTATATTATCATATTCAGCAATTAAATCCACAGTGTCTTTCAGGGTAGCCATTGCTTAGAAACAGTCTGGCTTCTCCTTGCAGGAATCACTGATTTGTAGGGGATGAAAGGGATCTTTAAAGATCATCAAGTTCAACTCCTTGACTCCTGCTCATCAGATACTTATAAGCATTGATAAGATCCCCTCTCAACCTCTTCTCCAGGCTGAAGAGATCCAGGTTACTCAGCCTTTCCTCATAAAGGAGATGCTCCAGGCCCCTCATCATCCTTGTCGCCCTCCACCAGGCTCTCTGTAGGAGATCCCTGTCCTTCTTGAACCGAGGAGCCCATATACACAATACTCCAGATGTGACTTCACCAGGGCAGAGGGGAGAAAGGCGAACCTTCCTCAGGGCCAGGGAAGAGATGAAGTTGTCTTTACTTCCTTTTTTACCCCCTCTTTCATTCACTTACTAAGTGTTGTGTCCAGACACGAGTTTTTTGCTTTTGTTCCTCCTGCATCCAGCTGCAGGAGGGAGCGAGTTTCTGTGTGGGTGTTCAGCTGGTGGCTGGGGTCAGCTCACAGCAGTGGGAAAGAGCTTGGTGTTTGAAAGAGGCTGGAAGCAGTCGCTTATATTCTGGGTGTTTGCCGACCCCACAGAACCATGCCTCATAACTTCTGCAGTGCTGATGTAAGAATCATAGAATGGCTTAGGTTGGAAACGATCTTAAGGATCATCTAGTTCCAACCCCCTGCCATGGGCAGGGCTGCCAATCAGGCTGCCCAGGGCTCCAACCAATCTGGCCTTGAATGCAACATAGAGGCACTGTTCTCACCTTTCAGTTCCCACATGCTTCTTGCTATGGCCAATAACAAAAAAAAGTACCTGATTCTAGATAGGAAGTTTAACAGCACCAGTCAAGGTGTAATTCTATCCAGATTACCCAGTCGTCATTCAAGCATCTTTTTCCTGGGCAACAGTCCACTGAAGAGAAGGATGCAACACAGTTCTATATTTAACAGGACTTGCTCGCATAGCTACAGTGTTCCAATGGCATAAAGATGACCTAGAAAGTACACACTACTACTGCTGCAATAGAAGTAGTGTGTTGCTGATGGATTGGACCCCATCCAGGCAGCATAAAATACTCCTCCTTGAAACAAGCAGAGAACCACCAAAAGGAGCCATTTGCCAACTCATTTGTAACTGAGAAAATATATTTTTCTCTTTTTTTTCCTTCTCTGTTTCATAATTTTCTGTGGGATAAGGGGGCCTTACCCACTTAAAATTGAATTAGGTAATATGACTCCAAATACAGTGTCTTATACTGCACCACAATAGCTTGTTATTAAAGCTGGCACGCAGATTAATGATTGAGGTGGTGTAAGACTTTATAATAAAGGTTAATTTTTATTTCTTCAGTATTTGACTAGACTTATTTACAACGGGAATACTTTTCTCCATAATTTATACCACAGTTCAAGAAAAGGAATGTCTGGGCTATTTCTAAGGCTCCTTGTGAAATAGATACTATATCTTAAACAAACCTTCTTGCAAATATAAAAAACTACTTTGGGTTAAGTACAGGTAATTTTCTCATACAGATCACATTGCTCATATTGAAGACTAAATTCTCAGTCGCATTCATAAATTTTCAGTGGGATTGAATCACATTATTTGGTCACATTAGGTTATTGCAAGGCTGCTTGTGAACTCTGACACTATTTTTTGCTTATGCTACTGCAATAAAAAAATGTAACCAACAGATTTATACTGAAATTCTTCTAGGGTTTACCCATCGGGAAATCAATACAGAAAGAAGATTAATTCTGGGGGCATTTAGTGGATGTAGGAGAATTCCTTCATGTATAGCAGAGAGCTTCATCAACACTGAGACAGTAAAGCATCTGCAGAGGTGCAGAGCAGAAACGCAGTGCTGCCTGGGTGTGTAGGCAGGCTGAGTGCTGTTCTGTACCACACACAGCCCAGATCCTGCTGGGTAGAGGTTCTCTGCATGCATTCACTCACGCTTCTGCACACTGACACATTTGACTTTAAAGTGGACCTTGCTTTCCCAAAAGGCAAAATCCAATATATGTTAGGTATTTTTTCTCTCTGCTTTCTTTCTGTAAAGCATTAGCATAAGGAAATAAGCCCTTGTACTCTGTACATTTTCTCACCTTTTCTGATAAAAGAATTTTCCATAGCTTTAGGATATTTGCTGCTCTGGTCTGATGACAGGGGAAGCACTGGCACCTGCTAATAAACCTATGGTGAACATAGGTTAACAAAATACTGCTCACCACAGCACTGGACATTAGACACCTGTTTTTAAGTTGCTGTGGCATTGTGCAACTTCACTGCAACCATGGTGTAATTCTGCTAGATAGAGCAGTGAGAGATAGCAATAAAATGAAGCAGGAGCTGAACTCACATATAAGAAGATTTCATCTTCTTTCTGTCTCTCAACAAAAGCATCTACATCATTATCTTCTGGGGATGCTAACTATATTTACATTGCTGACACTATTCGCAAGTCCACTAGAGAGCAGCTATGCCTCACATTTACTGAGTGGGTTTTTTTTTTTTTCTTTTGGTATTAGTTTCTCTGACATTTATTGCACTTAACACAAATGACTAATCAGACCTGAAAAGCTTTCCTAGTACTAGACTGAAGAACACCACAGGAGTGGTGGACTCGTTGCTCTGATTCAAACCAGTGTATTCTCCTTCTTACCTCTGATCTGCTTATTCATACCAAACTGCAGTATCGTTCTTACAGAAATCCAGTACCTGAAGGGGGCCTGCAGGAAAACTGGGGAGCGACTCTTTATAAGAGCAGATAGTGACAGGATGAGGGGAAATGGCTTTAAATTGTAAGAGGGTAGGTTTAGACTGTATATTGGGAAGAAATTCTTCACTGTGACATTCCAGGTGACACACTGGAACAGGTTGCCCAGTGAGGTTGTGAATGCCCCCTCCCTAGAAGAGAGCCAGGCCAGGCTGGATGGAGCTTTGAGCAACCTGGTCTAGTGGGAGGCGTCTCTGCGTATAAGCAGGGGGGTTGGAACTAGATGAACATAAAGGTCTCTTCCATCCCAACCCGTTCTATGATTCTATGAAATCTTCATTCATATTCTGGTTTGGGACATTTCATTTAAACTGAAGAAATGCAGAGTTAGTTTAGAGGCTTTTCCTCAAGCAAGCCTTGAGTAACCCACATCATGATCTCCACTGAATACCTTCAAGAAGGGTGGGAGTACAGATTTTTTTGGAAGAAGTTCATCGCAAGGTTCAGTCATAGTGCTCACTGTGCTTCCAGCACCTTGCTTGTTCTTTCCAGTCAATGGATAAAACAGGAATTGAAAAATAGATGACTGAAGTTCTTATATGTCATTTCCCCTAAGCACAAAGAAGTCTGTGCAGGTCCACAGCAGAGCAGTCCATATCAATTCATATAAGGCCATCTTCCACTTAACTTATGGAAGATGTTAAACAATAGCAAATAATATTTTACATAAATAAGGAGGTATAAAAATGTTATTGTATGAAATATTGGTTTCTCCTGATTATTATCTTAATGTTTGAAAGTAAATGGGTTAAATGGGCCTTTCTGTAAAACATCAATCAGCAGGCTAAATATAAAGGCACACTTCAAATTCCAAAAGTCACACTATTTAACTTTGTAAAGGAAAAAAAAGAAACAACGTCAAAAGAAATGACTGCTTGTCCCAAAAGCTGGTAAGTCATATTCCTTAGCTTGGTCTGTTAATGAACAAAGAAACTTATTCTGGTCCTGTTAGAAGAAGAAAAACATTACTGAAGTAGAAGAACATCAGCCTTTCTCCAGCCTCCAGACTTAAGTCAGACATATGCTTGCCAGGTTTTCCCTAAGCCACACAGGCTTTTTACAGCTCTTCCAGATTTTTCCAAGAGAATGACTGGCAAAGGCTGCACTGGTTGCCTAAAGCAGGCTGCTGGGGTGAACCTTACATTTGTCGGAAGATGTATACAGTGGCACAAAACACACTGAGATGACAAAGCAAAAGAAGTTCACTTCAAGATTAATATTTTGCATCAGACTATGAAGAAAAAGGTTTTCCCCAGCTCATAAAAACTATCACAAAGAAATCATAACTGCAGACTGAAATATTATAAACAGAAAATTGAAATGCTCATGTGAAAGTGTCAACATGAAATATTTTGATATTTCAAGTTATTCGTTTCAACAGAAACTGGATAAAATGAATACAATCGAATAGGATCTGGTTAAGAGGAAAAATATGTTTAGTTTGATTCTTAGGCACTGAACTACATCTAGCAATAGAAGAGACAAGGCAAAGCAGAGATTGAGCAGGGAGAGCTTCTAAATCATTTGACTATATCAGAAGGTAAAACAGTTCAATCTTTGCTCAATGTAAGGATGATTTAAGTGAACTGAATGATGGTTTTTATCTCAGGAAAACTGAGCATAGCCAACACAGAAATGTGGAGGGCAGTGGCAAGAAGAAAACAGGATGAAAGCTACAGGGTCTATTGCTTTCTTCAACATGCAGCATTTTTAATGGCACCTTCCAAAATAGAGTAATGTTCATCTTTAATTTCCTCCTGCAGATCCGCCACAACAGCAATGTGAACGAACGTCAGCCTCCTTTGATCTCCCCATACTGTTTTGGAAATTGCATATTCGTCTCCTCTGTTCCTTCAGGCCGTTTCTGACAAAAGCATTCTAACAAAAGCAAAGAGTTTTCCAGTTCTCATTGCTAGTGTTTCCATTTCCCTCCGTGCTGTCACCTTTTGTGTAGCAATATCAAATATAATTATTTTGCAGACTGTAGAGTCCAACTGGCATCTTCTTACTGTATGGTGCACGGCATGGACACACAACTACAGAAGATCAGGGTAGTGAGGCTAAAAGAACTGCTGTCTGTGCACTGTTTGACCAGTCCAAAGAGCAAATAAAATACAAGGTTCCTATTGATTTCAGCTCTTAACATTTTCTTTTGCTTGTGGTTGGGCTACAAGCACATACACGGTTGCCAGTAATGGCTCTGCTGATGGCAACAGCGGGTGAAGTTCTGGGCTGAATGTGAAGGCTGGGTAGGTCACATCCACCCTACCAGGGCATGACACAGTTTGGTCTGGGTCAGTGTGCAAACTCATTCCCTGAAAGGCAAACACAAAGCTAGTGAATGGCTGGTACTGGAAAGAAGGTCCTTTTAAGTTGGGCCCTCAACGCTGAGAGATTAAGCCAGTTGAATGGGAGATGTAAGCTGTTGCTTTTTCTCCATATCGCCACAGCACTGCAATGAGAGGACAGGGGTGCCTGTTGCTGGTGTACAGTAATTGTACATCACTGCCTATCTTCAGCCACAAACAGGCAGGTTGGCTGGGAGGAAGACAGGCCCAGATAGACATGTAGAAAAGTAGAGGCTTAGAACCACTTTAAAATGCTGCCCACCAGGCATCAGGAACTGTAGTTACAGAGCAAAGGAGAAAAAAAAAAGGAACATAGGGTTTTCATAGGGTTCAGTAACAGTGCAGTTGTGTAATCCCTGTGATAACCAGCAGAAGATGTGGACTGAAAATTCTGATATACAGAGAGGAAAACAGAATCTTAAGATCTTACTTACAGGTAAATTTTGGATGCTTGAACAGACAGTACTTCTTTGGCTATCTACATTTTCCATGCTTGCAATGACTGTGGAGGAAAAAGGTTATTTGCCTCCATTGATTTCAGCTAGCATCTGCAGTGGATCCTCATTTTTCTCTCAGCTTCCCACAGGTCAGTTCAGGGAAACAGCACGGTATGCTCAAAGAATCTGGTGTCACATGATAAGTCTGCAACAAGCACACAAATAACAGGCAATAAAAAATGTAATTGTCCAGAAAACTAACTTAAGATAGCAATTTTACCATTTTCTTATATACTTACTTGCAGCTGCAGTTGTAATGATTATCAGCTCAGGTTTCTGGAAAGAAAACACAAGCAGGACAACACATCTTCATTTTCTAGTGAATCGTACAATAAGAGAGCAACACTTCTTTTTTTCCTTTTTGAAAAGAAACAAGTTTCCAATCAGAACCAATGAAGTAGTAGGAAGGAACTAAAACCTATGGTTTTTTATTGATGTTTTGATATAGAAATGAAATTACTGAAAATTATTAACACGAAACTTGACAGTCTCCCTCGATAGTAGGTGATGACACTTTCAATCTTTGCTCACAAAGAAGTATTATATAACCTTTGACTAAAGCTTCCTGACAGATTTTTGTACTCCCACAAATGCACTGAGTAGTTGCTTTTCACCTAGAGTCATTTATTTACACTGGAAGTTGGAACCAGATGATCTTAAAGCTCCCTTCCAACCAAGCCATTCTATAATTCTATGACCCTATATTTTAGCAAGTAACTTTGTTTTGTACCTCAAATGTTCTTTTTCTTCTTTTTTGTATGTTATTCAAAGGTCTTTGATCATCTTGTTTCCTTAGATTCGCTTACTATGTTTAACCACAGAGAATGGCACACATGCTCCTGGGAATCTTCTTCTCAGAGGCAGTTTTTCCTGTTGGTACTAAGTGTAGTTCTGCTGCTTGTGACAGAAAGGAATGTGATTTGCTACTATTAGTGGTTCAGCTATCTATTATTGCCACAGCTCAGTTTTCTGGGGATTTACATGATGGCAGGCACTCACCAGAGCAGAAGGCAGAAGTGTAAATAAGGAAGATAAGAGTCCATGGTGGGTCCCAGTTCTAGTTTGGCAATGCAGATGTAGATGTATTTCTTCTGAAGCTACACAGCATGGACAAGCCAAGAAATTTATTTTCTCCTCCTTCCAATTCCAGTTACGCATACCTGCTGTGATATCCTTTGCACCAATATTAGCACATTTCACTTGTCAAGGAACTGCATTATTTCACTAAACTTAGCATAAAATAAAATAAAAGGAAAGATAAAAAAAACATTAACTGACTAAGTGATGATTTACTTACACTGTTTTGCTTGTTTGATGTGACTTCGACTGTTTAAGCTGCAGATACATCTTTCATTTGCCCTGCCTGTAACCTTACCAGTTTGCAGAACCTATCTGAAAGACAACAGATACCATAGTTTATTCTAAACTACCTTACTTTGTTGTGTTGCTTTTTTTTAATATCATATTCTCACTTGGAAGATTTTTATTTCATAACATCTATGTGACTTCTCACAGTTCATTTCTCTGTTTGTTTCCCCACCTGATAAATACTTTCTTCTCAACTGCAACACCAAGTATTTAATTTTAATTTCCTTCTTAGAACTTAATCAAAATCAAGGATATTTTTATTACTCTCCCTTTTAAGGTCAAAACAGGTTCACAGTACATCTTAAAACATTTCCATTATTGTTTCCACTGAATGCAGGGAAAATATAATGTTGACTTCATTAAAAAAAAGAATAAAATCACACCAGAGATAATTTTCATAAATTAGATGTACAGATTTCACCGTTCAGAAACAAGGATGTCAAACGTGTCCAGCTTGTGCAACCTCCTACACAGAACCACAAGGTTTCAATGATAAGTTACTGAAACCACAGCATTCAGCTTTTTGTCCAAGACTACTGAACGGGTGCTGCTGCTTCACTGCGATGACTGATCGCACATTAGTTTTTCCAGGGTTCACTAAAGGTGCTGACCTGTGAAAAAAAATGAAACTCATTATGCAAAGCAACTGTATCATTTAGCTTTTAAAATGTGTATGAGTGCACATATAAAAGATAAATCTGTTGATGCAGGTATACACATCCATGTCCGTTATATGCATCTGGTTGTAGATGAAGGCAGACCAAACAATTTCTGAAAAAACTGACCAAGCTTTTTTTTCCAGAGATACTGCATTTGAGTTTTATCTGTTAAGTATAGTATTAGGCAGCCACCTGTGAGCATTCTATAAGCTGCTGTGAACAATGAAATAGTACATTTACTGAAGTATAAAGTCATAACAAAGTGCATTATATTCAAAGAGTATGAGAAATGGGATAGTTAGTATTCCTATTTAAGATAATTCTATAATGGTATGGTTGCAGCCACAAAACAAAACAAAACAAAACAAACAAACAAACAAAACTCAACAAAATGGTGACATAATACCGGCAAGTTTTAAATGCAGACCAGGCTGCTGGGTTAAGACTTTCCTAAATTCTCTTCCTTAAAATGATTCTGTCAGAAACTATATTTCAGCCACAGTGAAAGGGCTTAATTCTATTTGCACTTGCAACCAATTGCTGTTCCTGGAATGCTGTTGCTCAGTGATACCAGTGGCCCCCTCAGCCCTGGGTGCTAGGAGGTACTTGTTGCGTAGGCGATCCATGGTTTTGATCTGCAGCAGAGCCAGTAGAAGAGGAGTTTCTGACTTCTAGCAATGCATTACTCGTTGTAAACCTGTTGTGCTATGGAGAAAGCAGAGTTGGTAGTAAAATAATCCTAATCAAAACGAAGTAAAACAAACAAGCAAACTCCCTAGCTGTTTGCTAGAAGGACTTTTAACTTGGATTGTTTCACTGATGCCAGCAGCTGTAACAGAGGCTCCTGAAAGACAAATACACTGTGACATAGAGCCACAAGAGAATGGTGATGACATGGAGTAGAAAGTTCTTTAAATGGCTTTGCTGCTGAAGAAGGCACTTGTGTTACTACAACTTGAGGTTTGCAGGGGTGGCTCCTGCATCAGCCTGCCCTTTGGTTACACAGCGTGACAATAGAGCCTCTTCTCTGTGCAGGAGCTGAAGCACAAGCATCTGATGGCTGGTACAGTGGTTTGGAGTACTCAATGTAGTAGTGCACAATAGAAGCTGAGGAGCTGGTCTGCAAGCAGATATGTGGAGTCACTTCAAGGGGAGGCAGACCACATCCTCTTGTGTATTCTCACGCTGCTCCTCTGCATTCACCATTTCTCACTGTGCCACACAAGTGCCCCGGCATGGTATGGCATGACACAGTTCCTTGACCTGGGAAACAAAAGCCATGGCAGGAGAACAATGTCAATGAGTTCACTGATCTTTAAACCAGAAGTATCATTAAATAATTCTAATAAAGACTGTGTATGCATACACAGACATTTAGACATTTATGTAGTAGTACAATCTAAAGACTGCAATATTTGGGTAATACAAGAGAACCAGAAAGATAAATTATTTAGAAATAGAAGCAATATTCAGTTATCTGCTTCTACCAAGACATGCCAAAAAGTAAAACATAATAAAAAGCAAAAAACTGTATTTGATTTTAAAGATAAACTGATGTAGAAGGTAACTGTAAGGAAGATAATATCAGTGCATATTTGCTGGAGAAGAGGGAAGAAGGGCCACAGTCCCTCACAATCTGTGTCCCATTGTTTGCTCTAGACCACGCAATAGGGAAAAAATTTTACTGCTGGAGAGATCCCAAACCAGCACAGCAGCCTCATCAAACCCAGAGAATGACAAACCTCTAATTTTGATATTGAAATACAGACTGTAATGTCAACACTGATACTACAGGAAGGTCCAAAAGCCAGTGGTTTTTGTATGTCATACACGGCCAGAAACTACAGCAGATTTTCCCATTTTGAGCCCATAATGGTTTGGTCTTTACTTGTTTGATAGTGTTGATATTGTAAAATAGAAGTAAATCTCTTTCAACTTCTGTTCCCTCTCTTCATAAACATTAATAAATTAACAAAGGCTGAACTTTTTCTTTGTGTTGTTCTGCTTTCTCTGTTCCTTGTCCAACATCTGCATAAATCTCATTTGACTTTTCTTTCTGAACATTTTGAATGAACAGGACATTTACATTTGGGTTTCAGTACCACCACATCACAGTTTGTCACACCACAGGCCATATTGTCCCTTAACGGAATTATTCCGAAGCATGTTACATACAGAGAACATTCCTGTGGTAGAGATTGCATACCGTTGGCCATGTTTCCTAAGAAGATCTGAACAGCCACAGAGAAATGCCACCATGCAGCTGCAGGAGATTTCAATGCTGCAATACAGAAAAGGAGCACTGACTTTTCTTGCTTATAGCCCTCACCTCCCTGTACAAATGTGTCTTTCAGCTGAAGAACTACTTTCTGTCCTCAAATTGCTATCTTGATACCCTGACAGCTGCTGCCATGTCTTCTGAAGGTGGCTGTCCTTTAGTAGTGGGGAAAGATGTGCTGTGAATAAAAATGAAGATGCCCATAGAAGCTGGAACCCAGCACAAGCACAGAAAGAGCTCTCAGCTCTTATCGTTACCAAGATTGAACTGATAATGACTTATGCAGGAGAGCATAGCTGAGACGTGAAAGAGTCTGGATGACGTGAATGCCTGCAATGGCAGAAGACTAGACTCAGTGACCCAGCGAGGCTTCTTCCTTCCTACATGCAGAGAAAACTACTACCCAGAAGGTGGGTGGCTGCTCCAACATTAAAAGAAAGACTTGAAGTGATATGGCCTCAGAAGGACAGTTCTTCTGAGCATCTTGTGCTGTGCATAGCTGGTCCAGCCTTGTGTCAGGCTCTGGATGTCTCAATACAGGTATTTCTCAATACAGTTTGTTATTATCTGTTGATAAGAAATACATCAACCATACTTCATGCATAAAAAAAAATCATTGGGTTGACTAAGGAGCAAGATGCACCTGGTATTTAACAAATATACAATTATTGTTAATGTTAAATTGTTCTGCTTTACAGTCACTGTCACTCCTTCCGAAAAAAAAAAAGGGAAAAAAAAAGAACACTAAGACTGTAATGCTTGGTACAAAGCAAATGAGACAGTATGGGAACATTTGCAAATGGCTTTGCATTACTCATGCATCTTCGCTAGCTGAAGCTGTTTCCAAAGCTTAGACAAAAACATGAACAGGGTTGTACTAGATTCAGAAAGTCTCTGCCTGTTCTTGAAAGCAGGTTCTATTTTCCATCCAAGTCTCTTTCATTCTTACATTACCTTTTTCTGTTGCGTGGTGGCATTGCATCTCAATCCTATCTGCAATCATGAACCAGAGGTTATAACGTAGCTGATGTTCACTACTCAAAGAGTAAAATAATGATTTTTAAATCTAGTAATAGCCAGAGGCTGAACACAGGTATACCCACAGCACCTAAGTACCACCTCAGCCCTTACTGTGAACCACAGATATGGGGGTTCTTTGACACTCGTGGAAGTTTTCCACAGACAGAAGAAATCCGTCCAGTGATTTCTCTGTACTACATACCAGGTCTTATTTTTCTTTTCTCAATGACCTCTGGATTTGAAAAAATGTGTGGGACAGATATGATGCCTTGGCAGCTCCAGGACTGTGAGCTAGTTCTGCTCTAGGTGTCCATCACTTTGTACTAGGTAAAAGACACAAGTACTGAGGCTTGCGGAGTCACATATTTAGTCCCCATGTGGAAGACACTCTACATGTTTGGGAAATTTCTTGCTCATGACTTTGGTCTGGTTGGGCAATTATGGTAATGAAATTTTTATCATGAAGAGTAGCAGGAGGATTATTCTGGGTTTTTTTCAGTACCAGAAGCAAGGAAGATAGAGTACAATATAGTTACTTTAATTTGACTCGCCAATATTGAACTTGTAAGATTCTACTTTATAACTCAGCCAGATGAGTACTTGTGCTCTTTTCCTTGCTTCCCAGCTATTGGAAATCGTCACAAATACTGAGCTTACTATAATTGCCCTCACATGATATAAGAAGAATCTTCTGTAATAAAAGCTCTTACTTGGCACCCCCTTTATTTTTAATACATTATTTAAGGACAGAAATACTGTGTCTCCTGACACAGCCACTCCCTTTGTTCTTCCAATTCTTTCATCTACTGCATGGGATCTTTTTATTTGGCAAAGTTAGACTTCAATGTGGATTGGAAATTGTCCATAACATGACATTGTGGAGGAACATTATGGAGACTCTCCATATTTTTATTGTACTATATGCAGTCTATTAATTTTTCAGTGCCTTTTCACCACACCGAGAGTTGTATTTATTCTGATTTTCATAGTAAATATAACTTATAGCTAAGAAGAGGTTTTTTTCCCTGCTTGTGGTAGTTAATTTTCCTCTTATCCAAGCAAGGTTAGAAGACAGAAGAATTACACAAAGTTAACAAGAAGAAAATAATATTTGGAGAGAGTTGTCAGAAATATTTTATAAACCAGTTTTCCTAGATCTGTTTTACAAAGGTCCTCTTTCTAGGCTCCCATTTTCCAGTTTGCTTTCCTACACTCTCCCTGTGAATGGCATATATGTGGAATGTCACATACATATGTTACAGAAATTCTTTGAAAGCAGTTCCATGCATTACAGGCTTCTCTTCTTCTTTTTTTTTTTTTTTTTTTGGCTGAGCCATAGCAATGACTAAGCTATGGGAAAAGCCTCCATTCAGCTACACTGTAAAGGAAAATGTGGGTGGGGAAACCAGGCTTTCAGGGTCGAAGTCATTCAGTACTCGGGTGTTGAGTGGCAATGTCGCAAAAAGGAAAGAGGAGGATTTAGCTTAATGGGCCAGGGATGGGAGGTTTTTCAGATTTCCACTCTGCAGCCATCCCTCCAAGGCCAGGCAGGCGACAGTGTGAGAGTGAGTATCATTATTTGACTCAGCATGTTCCTAAGCCACAAAAGAGAAGTGACGTATATAAAAACCATGTTGCTCGCTCTTATCTGATGAGAGGGATATCAAGGAGTTTTCTCCACTGCCTAGACAAAAAGGAAGCTCTTTGTCCTTATATTTCACTTTCTCTGTCAACGTGCCTTTCTTCAAACAATTATTATGCTCTTAGAGCCTCTAACACAAAACAGAAGACTATACAGATATAGAGAAATGATATGCAATCACTTGCTATCACATTACCAAAAAACTGTTGTTTAATGCCATTCTAATTGCTCCATCAACTTCATAACTCGTTTATGATACAAGAGATTTAATTCAGGAATATTTGAGATAGAGCTCTCTCATTGGTATACCTCCAATAAGCCCATGAATTATCCTACTAGACCAGTAAAGAGATGAGGTCTGTCATATTTCTATGATGCTTCTGGCTATTAAGTGACAATGCTTCACTAAATACCTGCTGCTCAAGTGCGCTCTGGTGCTGTTGTACAGGTATCCTTTCACACAGAAGGTTCCACTGTAAAACAGACAAGGATTTGCACCGCCACCTACCATTCACATTAATGTCTTGTCTGATATCATAAACTGCCTTTTACAGTGCATTGACATAAAAAGCGTTTTTAGGACTACATGCAGCATGCACAACCTGGCAGCTATCGGCAGAGTTCTCCCTTAATTTGCAAAATCATTAAATATTCCTAAATGTGGAGAACCAGAGTCTAACAAAACAGCTTCTTTTTTTAAAAAATGAAGCTTGCAATGACACAACCTCCTTTAAACAAGAAGAGGATTTTAGAACAGTTCACAACATGCTTTAGCTTGGTTCAGGGAATTTAAAGCTGCCTTTGCCTGCCACTGTAATTACTTTCTTTCCTAAAGTGACAATCTCAGGACCACCCATGCACAATTATCTCATTGTTTTTCAGACTATCTCTAGAAGCTGCAGTAATTTAAACTCTGGTCACTGCATTGGAGCCTTAATTATTGCTTTAGGAAAAGAAAATAACAATAAAATATGACAATTAAAATGGTTGTTATCTACACAGGTGTGGTTATTCTATCCAGCTGTAGGACATGGTCAAGTGTGAGAGTACAGACCTGGGAATCTGGAAATGACTCCCAGAGACACAGTAATATCCAGAATGTAGCTGTGCGTTACTCCTGTCCAACAAATTATCAAGGACCAACAAAAATGCAATTTTAGTCAGTAAAAAGTGAATCCTTCCAGATGGTTCAATAAAATATTATAGCTACTGCACAATGAGATGTTGAGACCTCATCCAGAATATTATCAACCAGTCCAATGGAGGTGTCTGCCAATCAAATGGAGGTGTGCAGAGCAGAATGGATGGGATGATTAGAGGACAGGTACACTTAAAGGCATCAGTGTGCTTAGCCTGGGGCCAAAAGGGGTTTGACTGCTCTAAGTTAAGCAAATGAGAAAACATCAGTCAGAGGAGAAAACAATCTAAGCTGAATAACAGCATCGGTATAAGAACAGAAGTGACTAAGCCAAAAGTCAGTGCATCAAGGCTGGAAGTAAGAATGTCTCTGACTGCTAAGCACAAAGACTTTAAGAACCAACTATGGAAGTAAAGACAACTGTTAACTAATTTTGACATATTGTCATGGCAGTCGATAGGAGCTGATGCCTCTGTGTTGCCCGTTCAAGACCTGAGTTCCTGAAAATACACGGACAGCACGAACTGAAGTTCTTGAGTGGTCCTGAAGTTGTCTGGTCAACGCAGTGGCATTTTTGCATGAGTAACTGCCAACCATCTAATAAGCTAACAGAGTCAATGTCACATCCAAATGGAAACCTTCCAATCTATCAACCAAATAAAGCTACCTAAAATAAAAGCCATCAGAGCTACCATGTTCACCTATAGAATCTGGGCTCAAAGAAACTTCTCAAAAAAATTCAAATTTGAAACACTAACAAATAAGGCAGAAACATACATATCACTGGTCTGCTCCTTAACTATGAACACTTCAATGGCGTTATCAAAAACTGGATTGAGAATACAAGGTATGTTCATCTAAATTACTTGTCAATAACCTACCAAGAAGATGAAGATTCAGTTAGGTTAAAGAGGAGCAGACTCTACGTATCAGCTTCACATAAACAATACCACAATAATAATCTCTTCATCCCTTCAGCAGCTTCACAAGAGGTGTTGAACAATAGATTTCAAAAGAACAAACTGTACAAAAATTCACATGCATAAGGTGAAAAAAGGGATAAAAATAAGTACTGGTTATGGTTTCTCAAACAAAATGTCTTTACTGCTACTGATTTCCACTTACGAACCTTAGCTGTAAATTAACAAAACTTCTGAATAAAACCTGAGATTCGCTCCACTTCAGTCCATCTAAGCTGCTCATCTAAAATGAATACAAAACATATCCCTCAAAATAAATGAAAAAAAAAATGACTGCACTACCTTTTATTGATGAAATTATATTTTAGACTACGTGCTAGAAGAAAATATTTTTCTATCTTATTTCCATTTTCGTTTCTTAGGATTTCTGTTCTGTCAGGTGTGATTAGCTGCCCTCTTTGCCAAGAGACATTTTGTGCATACATGAAAGCATGAGTGCATTTGTGTAGACACACACACATACACCTTTAAAATCGATTCCTCCAAGCTATCCAGTTGCTGAAAGATTATAAACCGTTTATAGTGAATAAGCATTTGCATACAGAAAACAAACACACCAGCTTACATGGCGAGAGATTTTGAAATGGACAGAAATCAGTCATCCCAACTGACTGTCTGATTGACCCACCTGACAGATAAAAACAGAAGCATTTTGTAGAATGCCATCTTATTACACAGATTAGCCTTCTAAGTAAAGACAACATCAAACTCAAGTCCAAACACCTTCCATTTTGCAAAGCATCCTCAAAGCTATCTAAAATCTTCAAACTTCAAGAGGCCAAGATTTAAGACACTTAGGTACCTTTTTATTTATCACAGTGAAGGTGCACTGATTTTATTTGCCCTCTACCTGATCTACACAGCAACGTTTTAATGGTCATACAACAGTGTTGATAACCATTTATTACTGACAGTATATAACAGTAATTTAAAGACATTTTACCTCCTTGCTATGAAATATTAGGAGCATGGCACTGAAAAGATTCCTTGAGGTGGCAGCACAGATGTCCCTAGTGCTCACAGAAGGCTCTGTATGCTCAGTGCAAGTGAGTGAGAGTAATGAAAATGGAGCTTGGGCTGAAGGAAAATAATAAATAAATAAATAAATACATACATACATAAATACATAAATACATAAATAAAAAGCAAGCAAACAAACAAACGAAAGGAGTATATTTGGGAATGTCTATAAACATCATGGCACTCATTTAGCAAGAAGACAACTGAGGTAGCCCCCATAAGAGAACATTCCTTATTGATGTCTGTTGGAGAAGCTCCCACCACTAATGTGTCTTTCATGTAATAATCTCAAATCTGCTTCCTCAGAAGTAGCATACATACTTCATTGCAGTAAGCAACAACTTTGAAGGGAATCACAGGAATCTGACTTATTTCTTAATTCAGATTATTCCGCTGTTTTTATTCTCCCTTTAAATTTTGTAAAGTGCATTTTTAATCTATTTCACATTGCACAAAGGCATTTCTGTGTTCTCAAGAGAATTCTCTGGTCTCAGTGTCACATCTCCTTTGAAGGGGTTGCATAGATATGCAAAGCTAACTTCCAGCCTGTGACAAAACGTAACTGAACATGTTTAGCTGCCATATCCACTCAATGACAGTATCAACATGATAACGTTCTGACAACTTAGTACTGATCTTCCAGTATCATTCCCATCTGGGCAATGGGCATGGGACAGGAATCCACTTCTCCCATGGCGATGCATCTCCATGAGCTCAGACCCCTGCAAATGCACTTTCAGCCCCCAATGCACATGCTCACTAGCACATTGTTAAAATATGTGAAATCAGTTTGAAGTAAAAAGTAGACCTCAGCTAGCTTAAATGTTAAAATGACCTTTTACTCACAGCTGTTGCAGAAACCATGCATGAATGTAAAGGTGTCAGTTCACAGACATCAGCTGGATCAAGCTATATAACCTTTGGAGCTATAAAGAAAAGTAGGATAAATACTTTAATGTTCTGAAAAGAAGTCCTGCCATATTTCATCAGCATGATATGGATGATTTTCAATTGGATTGAGGAGATTCTTTGCTGCAAGAAGCAGGAAAAAAAAAAAAAAAAAAAAGCAGAATCTTTGTTTACCTGGGCCTGTGGTTTCTAAGCATCTACTTTTTACTACGTTCATTTTTTGACTCAAAGCGAAAATGGGAATTCACCCTTTTCTCTTTTTTTCCTGTCCAATGTGCAGATGGGGCATATTTTAATTCACTCCATCAATCCCTGCCCCCCTACGCACAAACTCACCTAGCCAATGGAAAAGAAAAAAGGGTTACTCATTAATCCATTCTTCAAAGCTTTCCAAACTGAAATGGGTGGGTTTTACATCTGCATCAAAGACCAATATATAGGTAGGTATGTGGCATACCTGAACACAGCTCAAACTGAAGTGTTCATCTTGGATAGCTCCTAACACAACAAAACTCATCAGTATGGAGAGGATGATTATTTTCTGCATGCTCTTCTTCTGTTCCAGTATGGTGCTGACTGCAGCTCCACCAAAAGCAATGAAATACAAACAACTTGCAAAGACAATTGACCAACTAAAAGATGTAGTGAAAGATAAGGTAAGCAAAGTGTTTGTCCTAATTCTGAAATTATTTTCAAGTATTATGCATTGAATATATCTTTTGAGGGACATTGCTCGAATGCTAAACTTTTCTAATTAGATTTGTTTTATTGTAGGATGTTGAATTGCTGCATACACCAGAAAACCCTGAGGTGAGACCGGTTCAATCTTTCTTTCTAACTATATCAAATGTATTTTGTATTGGTTATTTCCACTGACAAATGGCAGATGCCTTCTTTTTCAGATCTCTGACCTAGAACTCTTAGTACAAGCTAGTTTGAAGGTGCTTTGATAAAAGTTCCTTATTCCTGGATTTTTCATGCCAGAAGCGTTTATACTATGCAGCCTTAATTATTAGGTTAGTGATAGGTTAGGTTAGGTTGTGCATTCTAGCACATCCACAGACTCAAATTTGTAAGTGTTCCCTTTACTCAGTGCCACGAGTACAAAACCTGCATGACTACAATGCTCCTGGGGATGCAGTTTTTGGGCAATGAAGCGCCTCCAGCTACTGTGAGCTCCAGGTGCACTGGTAATACTGCTGAACAGAGCTTGAAGGGATCCCCTTTCCCTCCCACTGGAGATAAATGTCTAGAGTGGTACTATAAGGCTATATTACATAGCACTTCCTTTCATGCAGTCACACTGGTTTCTGTCAGACTGCTTGTGAGAAAAGCGTGTGCTACCACACAGACCAGGAGACAAAGCTGCATTCTGCAAGTATTCTCTTTACATTATAACTTGTTAAAATAACCACAGCAGGTCTCTGCAAATCTCTTTTTATGCTGATACTTATTTATACATTTTTAAAATGATGATATTATGTATTATTCAAAGTCAGGAACTTCTCATATGTATTAAGTTACGCTAGAGTCACAGACAGCGTGCGCATATCTACATACTGGCAGGATGCGGGATTTACAGCATAATGAAATGCTAAAAATAACAGCATGTCTTAAAAGTTTAGAAACTCAGTGTGTTCTGCATTCTTTTGATAATCCCCAACATGCAATGAAGACCTTGTTATCAGTTATCTTAAATTTACCCATCGTGTTTGTTTGTGGATGTGGACACCTATTTCAGAAAGTAAGCGATTTTAAGCAACATGTAAAAATAATCATCATGCGTATTAAAAAAAACACTTGCAGAATAGAAAGGTTTTTACTCAGGGCCGTAAACTTTTTTTTTTTTTTTTTGCAAACTGCTATAAGAAAGGAAAAAAACTCACCTCTTTTCACAAAGCTGTCAGCCTCCTCTTAAGATTTATGGCTTGTGCATTTTTGACTTGCAAAAAACATAGCATGACCAAAACAGATACATTCCATCCCATCTCATTGCTAGAAACAACTGCAATGCAAAAAGTAATGCACCCAATATAACTGTTGGGTTTTTTTCACTAGCACTCTTTCTAACTTGTATCGTCAAAGTGAAAAGAGCCAGATGGTTAGCCGTCATTTTACTGCAGAGTTTACTGCTACCTCTGAAACAAGCAAATACACCCAGTGACTAATCGCTTCATCAGGTTGTTGCTTTTTTTTTTCTCTTGAAAAACACCAGGAAGGAAGACAACAGTTCATTTGCAGCACAGGGCTTTACGGGTTGACTCTGGGAGGTCCTGAGTACGTCTGTCAAAAAGTATAGGAGATAAAGAATTTAGGTATTTAGAAGGTACTGAGATCGATACAGGTTTGATCCCTGACGAAAAGCTAACGCTAATTGTTAAGAGTAATTGTTAACAGTAATTATTACCAGCAATCAAACTGATAAGGCTTTCATTCTGTGGAGTGAAATTTACATTTATTGAATTATCCAAATATACATATGTTATATATTCTATTATTATATTGTATATATTATATGTCCCTCCAGTATCTAAAGGGAGGCTATAAGAATGGGGACAGACTCATCAGCAGGGGCTTCTGTGATAGAATGTGGGGAAATGGCTTCACACCAAAAGAGGGGAGGTTTTGACTGGATGTAAGGAAGAAGATTTTTACAGCAAGGGTAGTGAAGCACTGGCACAGGCTGTCCAGAGAGGCGGTGGATGCCCTGTCCTTGAAGACACTCAAGGTCAGGCTGGATGGGCTCTGAGCACCTGATGTAGCTGTAGGTGTCCTTGTTCACTGCAGGGGAACTGGACTAGATGGCCTTTAAAGTTCCTTTCCAACTCAAACAATTCTATGATTCTATACGAATTATAGCACGCCAAAGTTGCAGTTACACCTTAATGTACGAAACCAGATTTAATAAAAACTATTTCAGACAACTGCACTTTGAATATCATAGTACTACTTATATGACAACCTGCTTATGGCAGATTTGAATTTGGCCTTCAATACGTAGGAAGAAAACAATTTTTCATTACATCAACAATTCACTGGTTTATCAATATTGGTTTTGAATTCCTTGAGATACCAGTGAATGGACTGAGTGTTAGACCCACTGCAATCCCACAGCATTTCCCTGTACACTCAAGGGAGATTTAAAAAATAAAAAATAAAAAAAAAAGTAGCGGGAGGCTAAAGATAGCAGAAGACACAAACTCAAAAGAAAAGATACTGAAGCTGAGGAAGACTTCATACTTGAATTGATTCGAAACTGCAAGACTGGAGGGAAAATAGGATAGACCTTGGTGATAGACCTTCCAGCTGAAGCCAATAGCACAATGCCCATTTACATCACATCAGCATCTAACTGCTGTTTGTTAGTTCAGGAAGCAAAGGTTTTTCAAGGTAATCTGTAAAATTAGAGGCAGTTGTAGAATGTTTGTCTCTGGCACAGCTATTTTACACATTTACCTAGCGCCCCTCAGACTTCACCAGCGGTACACACTTTTGAATGCCTCTTCATCAAAATGCTGAACCCATCACAACATAGCAAAAGTGCAATCCTTGTGGCCCTCTGACTGTTGGCCTGCCTACAGCTAACTGTTAACTCAGCAAAATAAGAAAAGAAAAAGCAGCATATATGAGAAGTGCTAGTTTCTCAGCTCATCACGGATGAGGCACAAAACGTTTTCAGTTTCAGCTGGAAAATCGATCTGTTGAAAAAAGAGTGCTTTTTTTCCAGTAAGCAAGTCTGGTTACGGTAAGAAGCTTGAAACAAACACAAAAGTGTGGTTTTTAATGAAAATAAAATGTTGTATCTAACCAACATAAGATGATGCTATTAACGTTTGCTATAGTCAACATACACCGAGATTGCCTTGTCCTTGCAAAAGCAGCACACTGCAGTGGCATCTAATAAACCAGATGAGACTCCGCTTTGGTAGCTGTTGGTATGCAAAACAAAGATGACGTCTTTGGAGCCATTCTAATATGCATAATCAGCAGTTTTAAGTGTGTGTTTCTTTGAAAAATGGAAAACACGTTAGAAATGGGCTTCAGTAAACACTGCTTTTCTTTTTCTGTTGATAATAGGTTGGCTTTGGTGGTATTTTCCACAGTTACATGCCTAGTGAGGAAAACTGCTACCACACAGGAAAGGAGATTCTGGAGAGGTTGCAGCCTGTTAGTGTAATAAAAATTAATGTGCAACCACACCACGAAAGAGAAAAAGCAGGCTGCTGTCATGATTAATATCCAAAGGGAGACTTTCAGCACGTATTTGATGAGGAAATACTTAAGCAATTATCAAAGAATAGGAAAATCAAATGATCCTTTGTGTATCTAAAACTATATTAAAAAAAAAAAAAAGTAGTGTTGGATCTTCTCAATATGTATCTTGGATTCTTAATTTTGAACAAAAATCACAACTTAACATAACTTAATATGCAGTGATGTTCCTTTTAAAATTGTTCCTTCTGTTCCTGCCCTAGGATGGATGCCTGTTCACAGCTGTGACCTGCTTCCAGGATGGCATACTGAAATTACAGCCAAAAAACAGCCAAGTAAATGTTACATTCACCAAAACTGTGAAGATCTTGAGAAGAACCATTTTGCCAGACTCTGGAGAGGTATTATTTTCTGCCACTGCTCATAGTCTTGATCATTGCCCCTTATTATCTTCAACAGACACCACCTCTAACAGTAGAATCATAAGAGCCAAACTTGTTAGAAAATCTTTCATTACTTTGGAAACAAAAAATATCAATTTTTCCACACTTCCAAGAGACATTCATTCTGATCCTATCAGTCAGTTGCATGTATGCACTTTAATGATGACAACAATGTAATGTACAGGGCAAAAGAACAGGGAATACTGCAAAAATTGTGAATGAAAAATGTAGTTACTATTTTCAATCCCTTTCTGAAACAGCCCATGTCTTGGTTTTACTATTCATAAAAGGCTTTGATTACAATCAGCTAGTTTTTTTCTAGTAAGAAGTCTTTAAGTATTATTGACAATTATGATGAGATCTTTCAAAGTGGCATGCTCTGCTTTATCTTTCAGCATTGTGAGTCTTCATGTCAATCTTACGAGAGAAAAAAACCCCAAGAGTTTCTGAACAGCTTTTCAAAAGTGATGCAAAAGGTAATCAATTAGATTTGGATCTTCCTGTCTGGTTTCTGACATTCTGTAAATAAGCACTGATACCTGTATTTTCTGTTATTCCTAACACTGCATTTTTTTCACAGTTATTCAAGAACTGTGGATACACCAGAGCTGAAGGCTACTGAAAATCTACTATTTAAAGCAGACACTATTATCTTATTTAAGACAATGTGAAAAATGTAAATATTTCTCATTGCTACTTTGCTGTGCTGTGTGTGTGGTAAGTGAAAGCTTCTCCCCAAAATATTAAGGAGGCTTATTAGAATGGCTAAGCATAAGAATGATGCTGATTTGAAAGTAATCCTAGCTTCATCTCACAGTGAAATTCCAATTGTAATTTCAGAAAACAAGGCCCACTTGTGGGACTTTACTATCACCTTATGCTGAACTAGAAATGCATGAGATGGCTGCTAGTCTTTTTTTGCATTCATCTCAAATGAATCTTATACATAAATGTCTGAAACATTTTAAAGAAAACAGACAAAAAGTTACCAGTTACTCAGGTTTCTACTTGGACTGATTTCCTTATCTACAACAATAATACCACACACACAATTTTATTTATAAGTTTTTAGATTGTATCTTAGCTCACTATGAAAAAAAATATCCTGCATGTAAGTATCACAGAAGGAGTGGAAAAACATTTACAGATCATACTGTATGGTATGGGTCTGACATGTTTCCATGTTGAAGTTAACCAGGCATTTGCCCCTGGTTTCAACAGGGAAAGGGTTAACTCAAATGCTTTAAGTGGAGATGTAGAATTCTTGTAGAATTCTCTGGGGAAAAAACTTCTCCCAGGACACAGAATTCCACTTTGACTTCTTCAAGCTACCATAAATTCATGGTTGATATGACTGGCCACTGCAAGAGATCCAGCAAATACAGTAACTGATGATTATTCAGAGTGAAGCTTCTCAAAAGCATATTTCCTTTCTCAGAATATTTTACTCTTATATTCATGTACCATAACACTATTTCTTCTGTTCACTCTTGATTCACCAGAACGCTTTAAATAGCATTTTTTTTCTTTAAAACCTGTCAAGTTTTTGTTTGTGGAAACTTCACTGTAGAGCTTCTGCACCTTGTACATTTCTGTGAAACTTTGGCCAGAGATAGCACTGGCTTTTTATTTTTATTTTTTAATAAAAGTAAGTATCACATCACTTAGAACTAGTTTTTAGCAACTTAATTATGTACAACAATATTCTGTTTGCCATGACTCTGTACCTTGAGACTTCCATCTGAGAAGCAGCTGTTAATTTACCCTCTAAAGAGATATTGGACCCATGAAACACTGCTCTTGGAAGGGAGTGTAAAGGCTGCCAGTAAAGATTAACCTTCCATCTGACTTTCTCTTTACTTAGTAGAAATACAGTATGAAAAGGAAACTGGAATGGAAAATGATAACTTAGTTATCTCCAGAAATATTGAGAGGCACTATTAAAAATATTTCCTTTCTTATAATTGTCAGCCTATAGAAAAACTAACAGAAAAAGCTTTTTTTTTTTTCTTTGCCTCCACAATTTTACTGTCCTGAAATGTAAACTTCTTCAAAACATACATATGTTAAGAGGAGGAAGGAAGATCCTCAGGGCAACAGTGAACAAAGTTTCCACAGTGAGTTCTCTTTTGCCTTCCATCTCCTTGTTTCTGGCTGATGACAATTTTGCTTCAGATTGTGTTTCTTTTATCCTTTGCTTTTATTTGTTTGAAAAACTTTTTCCTCTAAGTAATGTCCCACTATATCTCAGTGTTTCTGCATTTCTGAACGAAAATTGACATTCTAAAAATGAACTGCCTCTTGTATGTTTTTTTTTTTTTACTCATAGATCTCTTTTCCAGTAATTCAGTATGTGCATTCAAATCAGTATTTTACAAAACCCTGTTACAATTACTGTTGCAGAGGTGAAATGTGATTAGCATGCTTTGTTTAAGAGAACACTGTACATTATATATTTACTAGTAGCCATTATAAAAGATTGAAAAGCAGCTTTTAACTGCTTTAACTTTTTTTTTTTTTTTAACTTAAGATGGATCTCTTAAGAGAAAAATTGCCACTTCCTTAACAGAATATCATAAGCTAACTGGCTATTCCTGCCTACACTGAAACTGTTGATTTTTTTATTGTTTGTTCATTTTTGCACGCAAGGCAGCATGTAACAAACTAAGTAATGTAGCTATTTCTGTTTAGTGACTTGCCCCACTGTTTTTAATTTACGGATCTCATCACAGCAAGTGTAGTGGCTAAAGGTTGGTTGGTAGGTTTTCTGAATCTCAATATACTCATTTGTAAAGTAATACCATTTCTTATATCTGCAAAATAACTTTAATCAAAATGCTAAAGTCATGATTTAAAAAAAAAAAAAAAGCAAGAAGCTGTAACAAATCTAACTTAAAGGGTTAATTGTCCCTAAATCCTGGAGAAAACTGTATTGACCGGATAATCAGACATATGGGAAAAATAAATCACAGCATTATCGCAGTTGCTCTTAGTTAATGCCACTCCTCTGGGCAGTGCCAGCACAGTCACTCTGGAACTCTCTGTACATTTAAAATACACTTAAGACTCACACGATGCTGAGGCCTCTTATTAAGTTTTCGATTTGTGACAGCTATGAAAGATTGAGTGTATTATTTAAGGATGTACTGTTTTAATCCCAAATGAAGAACAAGAAAGCAGCGAAGGACAGATCAGTCTTCAAGAGGACATCACCTTGTTCTTCAACACTATTTGCAGGAGAATAATATGAAGATGGCCCAATTCTTGATGTTGGGAGGACTAGTTACCACAATTCCAGACATGAAACAATCTTCATTTATTTTTATTTGTAAGGTGAACTCTCTTTGTACTGACTGCATTGTTAGAAGAAGAATGTTTCTGTAGCTGAGTACATAGGGTAAGCCATAAAAGCTCATTACCTCCCAGGGAGGTTTAACAATATATTTATGATTTTGGTCATAAATGCCCATTGTTGGCACTTCAATATGTGTCTTAGCATGGTATATACAGTTCTGTATAATATTTACTTTTCTTGAGAGGTTTCTGTATTATTATGCCAATTGTCTCATTTAATTTAATTATTTATTGTATTTTGTGAATTGAATGTTTATACTGAGGACTTCGTGGTTTGATTTATTTATACACCTATGATATTAAATAATTTTAGCTAACACATTTTTCACTTGTTCTTTTCTTAAAAAGCTTCCAGCCATTTCAATCCTTACTGTGCTTCATAAGACTCCTCATGTGAACTTTATTAGCCCACACTATCACAGATGCTGCCAGATCAGACCAAAGATATGGTATACAAAGTATATTGTCCCTCTGCACACAATGACTACAGGGTGTTCCACAAGACAAGGCATTCTTACAATCATGTGAAGTCTCCATCACTACATTACACCTTCAAAGGGAGCACAGTGTTCAACACACAGCAGTTTGCATATGCCATAAAGCTTAAATTTTTTGACTACCATCACATTCAGATTGCACACCTACTTCTGACAGAATCTTTTTGGGCTGCTCCTGGCCTCTTGCCCCTTGGTCTGTACAGACATCCAGGGTCGCCTTGTTCCCAGATGCAGAATCCAGGACTAATTCTTTTTAAGCTTCCTAAGGTTGGTGATTGACAGAGATCTTGTGATAATATCAGCCAGCTCTTTAAGTACCATGGGTTGAATCCCACTGGGGGATTCAGCTGAAGCAGAAAATCCTGCACAAGTTCAGAGTTGGCTGGAGTTTTTCACTCCCACAGTGACACTCGAGTCCTAGAGCCCTAGCCCCAAAAGGCATTAAACACCTCTGCTTTACCTACATTCCTATTTGTGAGGTGATCAATCTCATCAAGTAATGGCCCAGTGTAATCTCTGGTCCTCCTTTTCCTGTTAACATACTTCAAACATTTATTTGCTTTTAAAGTTTAGGAAAATTGAAAAATATAGAAGTAATGTCTCCTACTTATTTTCATGGAAACTACAGCAGATACAAAGAGAACAATAGCACTATTTGATAGAGCAAATTCTCAGCAACAAAACACTGTTTTGCTATTAGCCATGTTTTTTTGCCCACGATGAACAAGAACCTGTGTGCCACTCATAAAAATCGACATGGCTGTCAGGAATGTGGCATGTCTTTCATGTCACTGTAACCACTGCTGAAATGCACCACTCACAGCCTCACTGTGCTCACATTCACTGGTCGGACATTAAGCAAGAAGCAATGAACATCAATTTGTGCAATTTTTTTTCGCATGGAGAAATTCATTTCCACAGCTTTGCTTCACACGCACTTCCATGTCAGACATCACTTTGTCAGACTGTCCCTCCATTGCCATCTGGCACATGACAACAAAATGTAAGAGAATATTGGTGGGAAGGTTCAACCTCTACTGCCACACACCACCACCATCTGCCTCTGACATCATGGGCTAACATCATCAAATAGGAGGCATTACTTTCAGCCCTCATGAATACAGATTAAAGATACTAGTCTATGATTCCAGAAATATTATTAGTAGCTGATGAAATAGTGTCTGCTGCATTCAGTCTATACTGTGTTAAACACCTTGACACTGTACTGTGACAAGCAAATAGACCCAGAAGTCCTGTGGTTGGGCTACTTTATCTTCCTAAGAATCTTGTTCATTTGTTGTCTCTTAACTCAAATTACAGTGCTCTAGTCCTAACACAACATGAAACAGATTTCACAGCCTTAACATAAGGCTTTAGGCTTTCAGTATGTTTAGAACTATTTGCTAGAGCAGACAATACACTTTATGGGCATCTGCTCTGCAGTGGAAAACAACAGAGCCTCTTAAACTACAGGACTGTGCCTCCACTAGAGTAACTCAACTATTTAACCCCACTGAGAAGTTTAGGCACCATTTTTCCCACATCAACCAAGACATCTGGGCATAGATGCTGCTGCATAGATGAATCACAAATCTCTTTCAGATTTAGAACATCTCAAAAATGTTTGTTCTGTATAGATACGCTGTATTCTTTCTCTCAGTTGTTTACATCTTCATGGATGCATTTTCCCAACAGCTGTGGGTTGTACATTGCTCTTGCTTTTCACTTTTACTGATGATCCATGTTGTAAAAGGTGCAAAGCTGAAAGTGAACATTTCCTACTCGAACATCCTTCTCCAAGCTAATGATCTGAATTGCTCTACTGCCACCTGTTGATAACTGTGACAATATGTTTTGCTCTACACTGGAAATGATACTTATTTTCTTCTCATTTAATTTTCCATTTTTCTGCTTACACATCTGAAGACTTCCCAGTATCCTTTTCTTGTCCAATTGCATTACCACTGTAAGACCATGAAGTATATGTTTTAAAAACCCAGAGTGAAGACAACCAAAAAAATTACTTCTATTTTCTAGACTTCAGAGATGTTAAAAAACACCAAATATGAGGCATTGGTCAACTCATACAGGATAATCTGTTTGTTTCTTATGGAAGTTTTGTTTCTGAAACTTGCATGTTTCCAGCATATCTCTTGTGCAATTCTTGAACAACCTGCAGTGACAACTTACCTAGGATGAAAGGCTTAAAAGGGTAGATAAAAATTCTGAAGGAATGAGAGCATGAATACTGATGGTAAGTGAATACAAAGTCACTCAGAAAACTGACAGATGAAACTTGAGATAAATCACCTGAAACCACAGACAATACTGCCATCATACAAATGTTTTGTGGCTAGGTTAAGGTCTATATTCTTTTGGATAAGAGCATCTTCAATGGGTTTACTACATTTTAGCTTGTGTACATGCACTTCACATCATCAGCTGGCTTCTTTTTCCAATGCAATTGAATTAAATCAAGTCTGGCTCAAAGATAAACACTTGGCGTTTGTCCCGACACCGGCTTGCACATTCAAGAAGTAAAGAATTCAGCAGTGAAGCAGATAGGACTGCAGCTACATATAGTGCAGTTGGTCCTTGGGCAGTAACATTCCCAGGTATGTCAGAGACAATATATGAATATCTTAAAAACTTTTTATGGAGCAAAGCTGATTACAACAGATATTTATACGATGTAGAAAGAGAATACAGATTAAGTTCTCAAAACTCACTGCTGATACCAATTTGCTAACAGATTAACAGTCAACAAAGATAATTTACAACAATTTCCTCTCCTTATCATCTGTACACCAAGCTTAAAACTATCCTCACAATTAGGAACTTAATAAAGTTAGCAGTGAATACGCTTGCTGTTCCTACTACTGTCATTAGAAGGGAGTAAGATTACTATTTCTGAATGTGTATAATTGCTTATTCATCACACTCTGCCTTTAGGCAACTTGCCATCCTTATGTCCAGCAGTCTTTCTTCATTCACAGCCATACGAGGGAAACCAGGAGTATAAACCCTGAAAACCTGTTTCACCAACAATCAATTTAGGAATATCGATTCAAGAAAGGCTGTCATCACTTTAACCAATCCCTCGTGCTCATCACCAGCAGAAGCGACTCAGTAACACCGCAAATCTCCACTATTTCCAGTGGGTGGCAGTAGGTAACTGCCAGCACCAAAGTGGTTGAGTTTGGTGAAGACCCACTGTACGGAAAAGAGCTTCCAGATACTGACAGTAATTCGTTTTGCACTGCTTAAAGCTTCCAGAATTCAGTCATCTGGCCAAACAATGAGAAACGTGGTAAAGCACTACTCAAGGTGTCCTGAGCTGCATCAGAGCACTTCCAGACACCAGAAGTTATATTCTGATTACACAACATGCACACCAGTGAAGGACAGATTGAAGAAAGCTTAGAAGATATCAAAAGTAAGCATGGGTTTCAAACCACAAGGGGAACAACACAGACATTTTAAATGATCTTACAACAAAGAGACATGTCACAGTTTTATGTTTTTTTGGTTTTCAGTGTTCCACATAAAAACATCACGTACTGGAATTAAAGTGTTAATGCTCCAATTCCAGGTACCTATCCCTATACATTACAGAAGTCATGGGAATGAATCTCTCTCTCTGCTCTTAGAGAGCTTCGTTAGGGAGCATTATTGGATCCAACT